GTGGCCATGCAACTCGTCTGTGGCTATAGAGGGCATATGTTCCTGGCAGAGTTGGTTACTGCCAGATATACTGGGGAACACATTATGAAACATCCTCAGTTCAGATCACAATGGTTCACACACTACTTTCTGATTTTCCAAGTGCACTCCACAGAGGGTATGACAGAGACATTTATCTCAAAAAAAAAAAGTTTCATCCTCTAATAATATACACAATGTCAATTAAATATCCTTGTGCACCCTTTGTAGACCTTGGAACAAGGTAAAACAATTTGGCTTAAGAGGCTGGCAAATATTTCAAAGACTGCAGAGAAGTATCATGGAATTGTTTTGAAAGTGATTGTGATTTATAAACATGGCTGACTTACCACGGAATTTGTATCTTGATTTGTTATACAGTTAACTTTTCATATTGAAAATGAAGTTGATGATAATGAAAATGAGCATTGTGTAAATAATTTCCGAATGTTAATAATGTGCCTACTTCGGTCCTGGATACTACAGGTACAACTATAGAGTGGATCTCCCTCTTCATCAAGGTTTATGTTTATACTAGCTACTTTTAAATATCCTAGGTTTAAATGAGTTACACAATTATCAAGCATCTTCCCCTCACAGATATTATCTCAATGACTGTAATATCACCCATGGCATGTTCTGTAACTCCCTTCTTTTATATGTTCTAGCTAATTTGATAAATCCCTAGTCTTGTTGAAGGGAAGAGAAATAATCTTCAAGAGCAACAAGAGTACATTAAGCAGGTCTCGTTAAAGTGAATGCTCAATTTATAAGCAGGCCAAATGTTTCTTTTACATTCCTATAACTTTCTTAAATTTCTCTACCCGTTATCTTTTTTTTTTTTTTTTTTTTTTGAGACGGAATCTCACTCTATCACCCATGCTGGAGGGTAGTAGCATGATCTCAGCTCACTGCAACCCCTGCCTCCTGGGCTCACACGATTCTCCTGCCTCAGCCTTTTGAGTAGTTGGGACTGCAGGGCCATGCCACCACACCTGGCTCACTTTTTTTTGTAGAGACAGAGTTTCACTGAGTTAGCCAGGATGGTCCTAATCTCCTGACCATGTGATCTGCCTGCCTTGGCCTCCCAAAGTTCTGGGATTAGAAGCGTGAGCTACTGTACCTGGCCCCCATCATCCTTAATTATTAGCAATCTGTATGTTTTCACAGCTTTAAAAGACCTAACAAAAGCAATTTTATATAATTGTCAAAAAGTAGAAAAGTAAGACCTGAAAAAAAAAAACTTTATAATTTAGCTCAGCTCCTTCATTTTGCAAATGTGGAAAATAAAATCTCAGAGCAATCCAAGGTCATACAGCAAGTGGTAGGGCTTGTAGAACAAAGAGTCCATTTGTCTTATCCCCAGTCCAGACTGTATGTTTTCTTCCTCATCGATGAACACCTAGCAACTCAGATTTCCACAGTTCTGATATTTGTGTTTGATTTCTAAAAATTTACAGAAGGCATGCCTTTAAAAAATGAAGTATATATATATATATATATGATATATATATATCATATATATGATATATATGGTATATATGTATATATATCATATATATATAAATATATATATCATATATATATAAATATATATATATCATATATATATAAATATTATATATGATATATATATGTTACTATGGTTCCTTTATATTCATCTTGATTTTTTTATTTATGACCATATGGTTCTCTGGAACCAACTCTAACTATCAAAATGCTTTCATTTGGTGTAACAGTTGTCTAAAATATTTTAACATAGATAACATTACAATGAAAACTAACATCAACCCATAACCTAACTTTAACGTAGCCAGTTTCAAACCAAAACATACGATAACAATCCCAACAGCTTTTTAAAAATTCCTTTTTGATTGCAGGGCACTATTATTGGTATCTCATGATTTACTCATTTAATCCTGTGAAGTAGATGCTGTTATTGTGGTCTTCGTTTTTTAGATGAGGGACTTGTAAGATGTATTGACGAGGTAAAATGAGGAAACTGAGGCAAGTATAAAAAAATGAGAAATTAATTTATTCAGCTCTCGGGCAAGGTTCGGTGGTCCAGGGAGGGGCCAAAGAAGCCACGCCCGGCTGTTTAGGTCATGGGGTTTTATGGGGAGGTAAGGCGATTGATTGGCTATTGGGGAAACAAAGCAAAGGCAATTTTACTGGCTGTCAGGAAGCAGGAAATACCTGGAACTAGTTGCCATTGGTAGGCGTGTGGGACTTTGGGTAAGTGGGACTTGATTGGCTGTTGGGGAAACAAAGCGAAGTCAATCTTATTGGCTATTAAGAAGCAGGAAATACATGGAGCTAGTTGTCATGGGTAGGCAGGTGGGACCGTGGGTAAGTGGGCCTGCTGGGGGCATACAGAGCAGACTGCTACCAGGCAGGGTCTGATGGAGCATCTTTAAAAACTTTTCCTGCAGGGTTTATCAACAGTGGGCTGGGGGTTGAATGCATAATTTAGTGCTGAATGTGGGCTTGGGTCTGGTATGCGGAGGCGGGTGCGGGGAAGCCATGTGGCAAGGCCAGATAACAAGCTTGGGTGATGACGTAGTTATCAGACGGGAGAGAGGTGGATGTGTCCGTTTAACCCTCTGCGAGGCAGCCGGCCTTACAAGACTTAAGGCTTTATCTCTGGAACTTTTTAGAATGTAACTTATCCAAGATTATGTAGTTAAGACAGGCCCAGAATTTGAATCTTTATCTGATACAGACACCCACAGTCTTCATTGGTAACTGACTCCTCAAATGTTGAATTCCAAAAGTTCATTTGCTGTTTAGTTTTTTTATGAGTTGGATGTATTGTCACCCTGAAACAATGTTACCACATCCACTCAATTCATAAAGTAGCCTACATAATATAATTTTGCTCTATTGCATCTGAAAATATATATTCTCAGGAGTCAAAGTGTTTATGTCATCATCTTTAAGAGATATTTCATTCGCTTGAGAAGGGATAGTAGTGAAACAGGAACTGTCCTCTGGCCACAGGCTTCACATGCTTGTCCCAGCCATCTGACCACAACTCTAAACCATTTCTCCCCGTCCCCAGGAGACTGGTTTGCCACTAGATGAAGGAAGAAGCTCCATGACTTTGCCCCTTCTCATACAGTTAGTCGTTCTTACTTAAGATCACTCCTCACAATTCTCATCTCATCACTGGACTCATCCCTACACTGGCGCATCATATGCTGTTCAAAGTTTAAGCACCTACCTGCCTTTTCAAATGATAGGAGGCAAACCTTTCAGGCAGGTTAGTCAGACCTACCTACAATAAATTTTCAACTTAATTAAGGCACCCACATTGGAACATCAAGGCATGATCCCAAGTTGCTTGTACTTTATAATTGAAAGTCTAGAACAACTGGCCCTCTAGTGTGGTTTCTAAATGTGATAAACTTGTTTTTCATCCTAGGATAAGGTATCTGGATTTGGGGAGATTGTGTTCTATGCACAGGCTGCAGTTAATGTGCCCTAGTAAGGGTTACTGTTCTGGTGGTTCTTAGCATACAGTAATTAGATGAACATTGGATCTTTCTTAAATGCCCCCTGGAATATCACAACTTTATGGATATATATTTTAAATGTATGCATTCATTTTAGCTGTTCATTGCACAAAGTCATTGCAACTCGTTTATTCTAATTGTGTGAACTATTTAAAATATTTGATAAACTTGTGTCTATTTATATACCTCTTTCACATTTCTCCTACTAACTATAGTATTAAGAAATTTGGTGGTAAATTTTTTTATTGTATAACAGATAATCTTCTAACAGAAGGGACTGAAAAGCTCAGGATAGTGCATTTTCTGCTTTAATAGGGAAGCATCTTTTGGCTTTATGTTCTCAAAACTATATTTTTATCCTCATCCTCAGAAAAAAAACAGAAGTAGGCAAATGATACTTCTTTGCCTTAATCATTCTATTGTTGATTTATTTATAGGAAGTAAAATGAGTTCATAAACCAAACTGCAACATGGTGATTTAAGTAAGCACTTTGTCATAAATTCTCATTCCTCTGTGTTTTAGGGGTGTGTTCGAAAGTTGGTTTTGTAACTGATTTTATATCTCTTGCATAATCAGAATTCTGTAACTGAAATAAATAGACATTAGAATAAAAGTGTTTTTCCATGCTGCTGCTAAAGCACCTCCTTGGTGCATGCCAACAATGAATGGGCCTCACAAATACAGCTGAGCTTTCTCACTCTTCTGTTGATCAAAATAATTCAATTCTGTAAATGTTTGTGGAGGGAGGCCCTACTATGCACAACTCATGCTGCAAGATGTTCAATAAATAATTACAAAATAGCAAATAACCTCATTGTAATAGCATAATCTAACATGCTACACAGCATACATGATAATAAGTTCGAAGGATGGAAAATGGAAACTACTGAGCTTTTCAGCTGATCACAATCAAATCAGAACACATCAAACAGCTGGTGTTCTGTGACTCAGAATCAATCAACCAGTTTTGAATCACCTCATCCTTTATTTCTCTTTACAGTTTCACAGAAGAGATTTAAACCAGCATATGTCCTTGCCATTTGGTTAAATTTCTGCTTTGAGTTGCTTTGCTTTCACATTCTAATACCAACGCATGAAAATTAGTGTAATATAAAAGAAAAAAATAGGGCTATATTAAAATGATTTTTAAAATGACGCTGCCACATTTGTGTAAAATAAACCATATGCTCAAATAAAATGCCCTAGAAGAAAAGTGATATTTTAAAGTTGTGTTATGAAATGAAGATAATTCTGCATCAGCTGTATTTAGGTAATTCACAAATATACCAGTGTTTATTATGATTTTATAAGTGTATAATTAATATTTTAATAATTATACAAATAATGATATTTGTATAATCTTAAGAAATTTGTATATTCTTAAGATCAATAGTAAGTTAGCAAATGAATGTTAAATGTTATTATATGTTTTGGTTCCTGATACCATCTCTTCTCTGTTCTGATAGGTACCTATTACACCATTCTTTGGCGAAGGCTATTCAGCAGTGGTGACCTCTTCCAATCCTATACTCTACAAATTATTATCTCTGGACTTCCAGCTGACACCCTGCCGGAGGCAAGAGCTACTAAGCCAACTGGAACTGTGCCTTTTCTCTTGTCAAGGTTTTTTTCTTACACAGGAAAAAGAAAGAAAAAAAAAAAGATGAAGTTGGGCAAAGTGGAGTTCTGCCATTGTCTGCAGCTAATAGCTCTTTTCCTGTGTTTTTCTGGGATGAGTCAAGCAGAACTCTCAAGGTCCAGATCAAAGCCCTATTTCCAAACAGGGAGGTCCCGGACCAAGCGCAGCTGGGTGTGGAATCAGTTCTTTGTTCTGGAGGAATACATGGGTTCAGACCCCCTCTATGTAGGAAAGGTAGGGTATGTGACCTTTCAAAGTTGTAAATGATTATTGTGCATGTCTGTGGTTGGATGAAAAACTGCTATTTTTTTTTGTATGAGGATGGTAAACACATGACATCATTTCTGTGAAAGAGTTTATGAAAATCTTTGGCCATAGCCACTGCGAAGTTGTAATCGAGGTATTATATTCAGTACAGTGAAGCCGTATCTTAGGGAATGATGCTTCACTTCTAAAAACAGATGAGGATTCTACAGAGGCCTGGTTTAAACCACTATCATCATAACACACTGATAAAGACGTCATGACCAAAGTAGAGCAAGACTATTTGTAATAAATGAAGAGTAGTAAGCTCTTATAGCGAGTTGGTTTCAGCTGCTGCTTTTAGGATATTATGAAAATGATGTTCATACTAACATTAATACTTAGGTATCCTTCCCTGATACTTGCAGTGGAAAAACTTCATCATGAAACTATTGAGCCTAATGTTTCTAAATTATGAACAATTCCAATCCACATTTCTTCGCAATCTTGTTTTGATGGCACCCCCTCTGTGTTTGTGTGTGTGTGTTTTAGCTTGCTTTAAAACTTTTGCTTTGGATTAAAAATGATTGTGGGCAGAAGTCAGTTAGAAATGATATTAGACAAGCGATGGGCAGTTCATGGTGCATTTATTGGGTGTCCAGGTGTTAGCTGGATAGACATTTTGTTTTTCACGACTTCTTTCTGCCTGAATATTTGAGAAGGAGATTTTCACTGGAGAGCTTCCTGAACCAAAAGGTGCTTCTAGAAAGCCTGCCCTTTTCTCTGCCATTGTCATATCATGTTCCCAGTTCTTAGTTTACTTCAGGTTCAATTACTTTAATATTTGTAAAGGTGAACTGAATTTTTCAGTTTGGTAGTGAGTACTGGTGAAGGTTTTCTAAGTAGGGAATTTTAGCAAGAAATCTGTGCCTCTGTATTTTTACACTTCACTCTGTCAGTTTTATGTGTGTCTTCCTGGTAAAATGAAGCTTAGCTAACTAATGAGTTTATCTGTAAATCAATTCTTCAACTTTAAAAGATAGAGGAATAATTTGGTGATTTACTGCATGGGTCCTTTTTTCATTTGAGCATACCTTAAGTAAGGGTGAAAATTATTTTTGTTGAAGAGCATCTATGTCAATCAAGGTAATCTGTATTATATGTATTATTTCTTCTAATGTCTCTATATTTTACAAATACTGACTTTTGCTGCCTTGTAAACAAAAGGATGTTAATAAGTTAAAGGTTTCTAGAGATGTGAATTAGGATTTTTATAGTTTTTTGGCCCAGTCATAGCATTTTCCTACCTAAACTTATGTAAACACAAAGGTGTTTTGTGTACAAATATATTTTTTATGGCCATTCTAACAGTAACACAATCATATACGCTATGTGTGTGTGTTTGTGTGTGTGTGTGTGTATGTGTGTTAAAATTCTGTGTCACTCCCTTGTTACTTGTTTTCTTATAAAGAAATCAAGAGGAATAACTGTAATGATTAGGATTTGATTAGGAAACAAGCTCTTAATTTCATTCATTTTTAATGGACATTTAACAAAGTCATCAAACATTCTTCAATGGACAGATCTACAATATTCAAGTAATGTATAAAAGAAAGTAATAGTTATTAAGTAAAATCATATTTTGTGACAATGTAAAGTTTTCTAAAACCAACAAAAATATTTTTAAACTAAATGCCATTTAATTTGGTATTAAATGGAGCCGCTTGGGTGAAGTTGACATTTTAAAAATCAATAGTTTTAAAATTTAAATGCCCTTCTTCTGAATTTCATAACCTTCACATAATAATTCAGTATGCTTATTCCATATAACGCCTACAAGTCAATTTAAAATTATGAAGATGTTTGTCCCTATGTTACTTAAGTTGCATAGGCATACAAAGTTATTGGGCAAAGGTCTTTTGTTCATAAGAGAAATCATGTGGTTTCTTGATTAGGTAACAAGAAATATTATGTACTTCCCTTTCAACTAATCAAAGAAGGTCACTTATTTTTATATGATAGAAAATTTAGTTTGTTTTTATCTTTTGCATGCTGTATATCGGCAGTTCAATATCGCCTTTCAGAGAAAAATGTCCAGGATAGAAATGGATTTAATATTTAAAAGAAATATTTTAATCATCTAAAATACAGGGAAAAAAGGGCTGTAAAATAATTTGAGATGGAGGGAGAATTTATAGACAGGAGAGACAAATGTAAGACCTTACAAGAACAATTTTCATATATCCTTGGAAAAAAGTGGCAGAGAACTTGAGTACTATAGATTTTATACTTGAGATGATGAAATGATTATTTCCATTAATAGTTTGGTAATCTGAATAAGCAGAAATATAATAAAATCTTTGACTTAAGTACAGTTTTTATTACTTGGGTAAATAAAATAGATACTTTTTTCTTTTTTCAGTTTGGGAGGTGATGTCTATGCCCGGAAATGTTTATAGGACAGAAAGAACTAAGAATTATAGAAGAAGATGTGGAGAAATAGCTAGGCAGATAATCATAGAAAGAAAAGAAAGAACCTGATTATTCAGTGCTTGTCACAGATGTGTTTTCAACCTAGGCTAGTTAGATGGTCACACTCTTAGTCATCCTAACACAAGTCTAGCTACTTGGATAATTTGGAAAATGTAAGTGATGACTTCAATACATTTTATACCTTAACTTGATCAGATAATGGATAAGTACAGTATGTGTCAAATTGACATCAGTTTTATATTCTTGCTCTGCCACTTTCTACCAGTTGTAGAGCTTAGGGGCAAGTTGCCTAATATTATTAAGGTTTAGTTTTCTAATCTCTAAAATAGAAAAATGATATCTATGATTCAATTCTGTTACTGAATAAATCCAATTAAATTATTTATGACATTCAATTACTCTGGACATTATTGTATTTTATATTTCACTACATATTAATTATAAATTAACTTAGTTATGGATCATCTATTTTGTTACATGTCACATGTTGTCTGTGTGATTCCTCAGATGAAAGCTGGCATTATTTTATGTTCTAATAGTGTTTATATTTATTCCAGTTAATTATAGGAATGTCTGTTTTGGCAGTGCTTAACAATGCAGTTTTAAAAATTATTTACATATGATTAAACTATGGCAGAGATACAATTAGTGGGTAAAAAATTCAATCCTTAAAGAGAAACTTCTAATGTTAGAGAAATTATGTCTGTGAGTTTTTTTAGACTTTCAGATTTGGAGTCAATATTAATGGCAGATGACCAGCAAGATCAATTAAATGACTCTGCAGTGAATAAAATTTGGTCATTAAGACAATGGAGATAATGAGGCTACAATATGGCTTTCAAGCTTATTATTTTAGGTAATTTACTGAGTTGTTTTTTACATATGATAATCTAAGACCAAAGTAAAAGAGTCTATTGAATGGGGCCAGGAATGCTCCTAGAACCCTTACTCAGGAATCACTGGGGCACAGACTTCTGGACTGTGCTAGACTCCGATGGTACAACCCGTATCATTAGCTTTCCATCATTTGCTTGTCAAAAAAGTTGATAAACTGCTGACTCTAAATGTATAGACTTAAAGAAGGAGTCCTTGGATGTTAGTCTGAGTTTTTTTTTCTTGTCATTTTATTTATTTTACTATATATATATATGTATATTAATTGTACTTTAGGTTCTGGGGTATATGTACAGATTATGCAGGATTGTTGCATAGGTACATACATGGCAATGTGCTTTCCTGCCTCCACAACCCCGTCACCTATATCTGGCATTTCTCCCCATGTTATCCCTCCCCAACCTCCCCACCCTCCAACAGTCCCTCCCCTATTCCCCTACAACAGACCTCAGTGTGTGATGCTCCCCTCCCTGTGTCCATGTGTTCTCATTGTTTAACACCCACCTATGAGTGAGAACCTGCAGTATTTGATTTTCTGTTCTTGTGTCAATTTCCTGAAAATGAAGGTTTCCAGATTCATCCATGTCCCTACAAAGGACGTGAACTCATCGTTTTTCATGGCCGTGTAACAGTCCATGCTGTATATGTGCCACATTTTCCTTGTCCAATCTATCGTCAGTGGGCATTTGGGTTGGTTCCAGGTCTTTGCTATTGTAAACAGTGCCCCAGTGAACATACACGTGCATGTGTCTTTATAATGGAACGATTTATAATCCTTTGGATATATACCCAGTAATGGGATTGCTGGGTCAAATGGAATTCTATTTCTAGGTCCTTGAGGAATCACCACACTATCTTCCACAATGGTTGAACTAATTTACACTCCCACCAACAGTGTAAAAGTGTTCCTATTTCTCCACATCCTCTCCAGCATCTGTTGTCTCCAGATTTTTTAATGATCACCATTCTAACTGGCATGAGATGGTATCTCAGTGAGGTTTTGATTTGCATTTCTCTAATGACCAATGCTGATGAGCATATTTTCATGTTTGTCGGCCTCATATATGTCTTCTTTTGAAAAGTGTCTGTTAATATCCTTAACCTACTTTCGAATGGGTTTGTTTTTTTCTTGTAAATCTGCTTTAGTTCTTTGTATATTCTAGATATTAGCCCTTTGTCAGATGCGTAGATTGCAAAAATTTTTTCCCATTCTGATGGTTGCCGGTTCACTCTAATGATTGTTCCTTTTACTATACAGAAGCTCTGGAGTTTAGTTAGATCCCAATTGTCTATTTTGGCTTTTGTTGTCAATGCTTTGATGTTTTAGTCATGAAGTCTTTGCCCATGCCTATGTCCTGAATGGTTTTGTCCAGGTTTTCTTCTAGGGTTTTTATGTTTTTAGGTCTTATGTTTAAGCCTTTAATCCATCTGGAGTTAATTTTAGTGTAAGATGTCGGGAAGGGGTCCAGTTTCTGTTTTCCGCACATGGCTAGCCAGTTTAATAAATGGTGTACAAGTTCTGTTTTAAAGAATAACAGTGCCCGTTTCCTTACATGTATATCTTAATTACCATCATGCCCATTTTCTTGTTTTTATATGGAAAA